TTGTGTATATCCATATTACACCTAGCTTAGGTAAAGACTTAGAACCCAGTCTTACAAAGCTAATTTGGATCATTACAGTGCTTAAAGTAGCTTCAAGAGTTTAAAAGCTTGTATATAAAGAGTGAAGGCCAAGTTATTGCCTGAACCCAGCGACTAGGATATCACTTGCTGGAAATCTATCATGAGATCTCGTACAAAAGTTGAAAGGCATCTGAGAGAGTTTGAAAGAGTTTATCCTATATATTGATTCACATGAATGGACTACAGGAGGAGGTTTTTCTATTTCTCGGGTGAATCTCAGCGACGAGGGGATGGCCGGCAGCCGGCTCATATGAGAAATCTTGTCAGTGCTCGTGTCCCGGGTGCTGGCACTTGTATTTCATTGTTGGAAAGAGTGAAGGTGGAGGAAATCTCAGTGACAATGGGATCATAGAGCCATGTAGCCTGGCCTCTGAACTGGCTGGTTCAGATTCTCGCCAGCAAAATCTGGGTCTAGTCTTTGCATTGAGCAAGCGAGAGATGACAAATCACCACCTAGACATGGTCCATTGACGTTTGGGGTTTGTCTGCATTGCACCTGACCTCAACCACATTCACCTAGTCCAAATGTCTTGTCAACACACAATCAAAACTATGAAACAAAAAGTCGAGAGCCTCCATCAACCTCTCATCGAAAGGTTTGTCTATGAAATGCTGCCTGCACTACGCTAACGAGACCAGTTATCAAAGCCTTCAATGTCATGTCTGCCATCATTTCAACTATCCCTGCTACTGGGACAATCTGCCATACTCATTTTCTTGTTGGCAATGTAAATGCTTTGGGAGGGACTGTACTGTTTCCCGCCACAACGACATTCATGGCTACAATGCTGTTGGTCGCAGACATCAGTGGCTCCTTTCTGTCCAACCCCACATCGCACGTGAACTTGACCTGACTGCTATCGACCCCACAGACAATGTTATCACAGAGCATACTGTACAGACGGTCACAGAGACCATGACCCCTAAAGGACCTCTTGTCATTGTAGAAACGTACACTCATATAGAATAGTCGCAGGTGCATGTGGCACTGCCACCATCATTGTACCAGATACCAACCACATGAACCAGACATCACACGAACGAAAAAGCTCAAATGATGAGAAAAAAGGTAAAGGGAAATGACTTGCTAGCCAAGATGTGCCTGGCAAGACGACTCGAGTGACGGCCCTGAAGTAGCCATTCAATAGTAAAAGATGCCTCTTGTGGGTCTTGGATCCTCAAGAGCAGGAAACAGAGGTGGGTGCCAAGGATGCCATGTACTTTATCCAGGTCAAGGACCAGAAGCTGGCAGCATTTATGGACGATAAGCAATGCAACGGCCACATCTACAAGAGCGAGGGACACGTCTATTTCATATCCCAAAATGTAATAAATAATCAGGATACCATAGAGATTGCTGATGTGAACCATAGCTCTATTCCTACACACTCATACCCAACGACTTTGACAAGAGCGTCACCGGGTGGTTATCCTTCTGAGACAACATCCTTAAAACCCAGGGTTCATACCTAGACCCTTGGGACCTGGTGATACCCATGCATCAGGAAGATGAGAGGGGTAGCTAGGTGAACTAGGCAAACTAGGAGGAGGTTGGCACAATTCAGTAAAGCCTCCCTAGTTCACCTAGCTGCCTGACAACTTGCTGATGTTCTTATATGTTGTCAAAAAAATGTGAGGAAGGACTGTACAGATTGCATACTCTGGTGTCCAGGCCCATTTCTCCTTAAGGTGTTGAAGAATATTCTTTTCCAGTTGGTTTCAATAATGCAGGGAATGGACAATCTATGAGCTCCACTGGTTGTGCCTCTCTCTGTCCAATTGTTTGGATGACAAACTTCAAGTAGGACATCAAGCTTGTCTTTGAAGAGATCTGTAAGATATTCAAATATAATGATGCTGAGTAGACTTATCCTGGTGCCCAGTGTCAGTTGTAATCCTCTATATTGGGAACTAGACAGGCTATGGTGGGACTGGGAAAGGTCGTGTAGCACGGTGGCCATTCCCTCGAGACTTGCCGTGATGATCTTGTCCAAGTCCACTTGCTCTTCCTCAGACTTGTCCTTGGAAGAAGAGGGTTCAGAATGGACAGTACGTGACCTTGGGGTGGGATTTCTCTTGATGATCGACTCTCCATTTTGTGTACAGCCCATGGCCCTCGAGCTGCACGCCAGACAGATTTTAGAGCTAGACCCGGCGGGGGGCCACTCACAGACAAAGTTTTTCAGACGACACTTGTCACAAGACCTTGGATTCGTCAGTATACTGTATCAATCCCCAGATCACCCCCACTGTTAATCACTCTGAGCTCAAGATCATTGGGTGGATCCCACATCCTCGAATCCATCTCTTGCATTTCTACCTCAGTCAGGTTCCTAGAGATGATGACCCTCAGAGGGTTTGCATCTCGGTCAGTGATGTCCTTGCTGAGCTGGATTTGTATCTGTTCCACATGTGCATCATCAATCTCTCGCTGGCTCTCGTGGGGGGCCATTCGGTTGACCGGCACCCAGGACTCACCTATAAAACATGACTCCAAGGTCTTGATCCATGGGGTTGTCAACATTGAACTAGGGTGCAGGTGGTCATTGTATCATGTCCAGCCACACGACCTCGGCAAAATGAAACCGAGATGATGCTAGTCTCAGCTCTGAAAATTGTAGAAAGAAAAAGGCCAACAAGTACATGCCACGACATGTCAAGGCAAAGATGCCCACATGAGCGATTGAACAGTGAGGGTGATCTGGGGATTGATACAGTATACTGACGAATCCAAGGTCTTGTGACAAGTGTCGTCTGAAAAACTTTGTCTGTGAGTGGCCCCCCGCCGGGTCTAGCTCTAAAATCTGTCTGGCGTGCAGCTCGAGGGCCATGGGCTGTACACAAAATGGAGAGTCGATCATCAAGAGAAATCCCACCCCAAGGTCACGTACTGTCCATTCTGAACCCTCTTCTTCCAAGGACAAGTCTGAGGAAGAGCAAGTGGACTTGGACAAGATCATCACGGCAAGTCTCGAGGGAATGGCCACCGTGCTACACGACCTTTCCCAGTCCCATCTAGGCACCTCTCATCATCTATTTCAATTGGTAGACTGGTTGGTAAAGATGGCCCCCTCCCAACCTGTTGACGTCGATGCCCCGCCTGGGGTCACCTTTCCATCTGGTATAGGAGAGGGTATGGCACCCTTTGCTTGTTCTGGCGAGTTTCCAGTCTCTTACTTTCAGCAGGGTGAATAGTGCAAGCAATGTAGTATCATGTTTCGCTGCGAGCTGGGGTGTTGCATTGTTTATCGCAAACTAGATTGTACAACAGTTATCCGAGAAAGTTTATCATGTATATTCATTCCCTTGAAAAGACTACAGAGAAAGTTTCTCGGTCAAATCTCAGCAAGATGGGATAACTGGCTGTCAGCTCGTACGAAAGTCCCATCGGGTGCTAGGGACATCCTGTCGAGTGGTTGGGACATGGTTCGAAAAGCGTGAATAATATCTTTGAATACCTGTCATCAGGGTTTGGGTCATGTTATCAGTTGAACCCAGTGACTATCCAATTTCTTGTCAAAAGGCCGTCCTGTGCTCTTGTATGACAGTCTAAAAGTATCCGAGAGAGTTTAAAAGAGTTTATTTCATATATTAATTCACATGAAGAGACTACAGAAGAAGGTTTTTCAATTTCTTGGGTGAATCTCGGCGATGAGGGGATAACCGGCGGCCGGTGTACAGCCAGCCATTCGGCTATCATCGAACCATGGTCTCAAACATTGATTCTTTCTTTTACGAACTTTCCTCTTATATATCTTATCTTCCCTCTCTTTCTTTATGAACTTACCCTATTCTTCTTTTATTTGCTGGACCTTTATTGGTATTTATTTAAGAAGTTTGGTTTATTTCAAATTTACATGTATGCTGTATAGTGGGTATGGGTGGGGGACAATAGAGATTTGTCTTGGACCTATTAGAGTTTCGTCTCACCTTCCTAAGTCATTCTCTGGACCAATAGGGTGTAGCTGAGG